ACTTTTTAACAAGCAATAAAACCCTTGATCCAACATCAATTGGTATATTTCTCATAAAAAATCCAAAACACAATAAGTATATGATTAGGGTTACACGCCACGAGCTTTAAAGTGGTGGAGAAGGAATGAGAATGGAACCACTCCTACACTCGTTCCGAATATTTTGAATACAAGACGCTCGACTTGGATATTCGAGATATTCATCTCTACCCAAAGTCTTTATTGTGATTCTAATCAAGAACTTCCTTTCAAAACCATAAAAATAACATAAACTCATCAAAATTCTTTTTTCACCTTAGGGCATCATTCGAAAACCCTTTTTCAAGGTATAAAACCAACCAACACACAATCATTTCTTTAGTGGCCGAACTACGACTGCTCTGATTTCTCACACCTGTTGAGAATACGTAGACATAGGATTGCAATGATCCTAGCGAACACTCTTCTTTCTTTTCCATCTTTAATCCTCCATGCCTCATCACCCAAAAAAGGACATATTACGTCCATTCTAGCACAAACAGGTAACACATAAGACTCAATGAGCGATCCGCAATACACCTAACTATTAGAATGTGCACGTTAGCATCGTCCACCCAAACTTCTCATTTTTTTCACCCGTAGTCCTATGAACTACGAATGCTCTGATTTTTCACTTCTTACAAGTGAATATACGTAGGCACAAGGGCCCTAATCCTAGGCGAGCACTCTAATAAAAGAACCAACCTCTCTTTTCTTTTAAGCAAGCAAATTCTTAGATTAAAACACTCATTAAAGCCAAACAACTTAGAAGGTTCCCATCGAGTACGATGGATGTGAGGGGGTGCTAATACCTCCCCCTCACATAATCGACTCCCAAAACCTAAAATTTGGTTGTGATGACCATGCTTTTTTCCTAAAGGTTTTATCGTTATTTCCCTTTCCCTCCTTGGGATAAATAAAATTCGGTGGTGACACTGTGTCATTTTTTTACATAGCGACGGTCGTGAGAAAAGAGAATCATTATTTAAAGATTAAGACGTTAACCGATTAATAAGGTGGGAAGCGATGGAGAGAGTTTCACACCAAAATCGTAGTGGCGCAAAGGATTCCAACATGTGAGTACGGACAACATCAAGAAGATGTCGATTTTTTATTTCAGCTACCCCATTTTGTTGAGGTGTGGAAGGACATGACCTCTGAGATAAAATACCATTGACCTGCAATAAATCTTGGAATAAATGAGATGTGTATTCACCCCCATTGTTAGAACGTAAAATTTTGATTTTGGAAGAAAATTGAGTTTGAACATAAGCATGAAATTTTGTGAAAGTGGAAAATGCTTCATTTTTAGAACGCAAAAAATATACCCATGTGAAACGACTATAGTCGTCAATAAAAGTGATAAAATATTTGTAATTTGCATGAGATGCAACAAGTGATATCTCTCATAAATCACTATGAATCATATCAAAAGGTCGATTTGTATTTGATTGATGAATCAGAAATGTTAGACTTTTACTTTTACCAAGTTTACAAGAATTGCAATCAAATTGAACAGCACTAAAAGAAGAATTTTTATTACCAAGAACACCAGATTTTACTAAGTCATGACGTACATATGAATTTTGGTGACCAAGACGCTTATGCCATATTTGAAAATCAGCAGTAGCAGAATTACAAGAAACAAAATGTAATAAAGAGCATGGAGACCAAGATAAATAAAGAGGAAAAAGGCATCCAACTTTAGGTCCCTTCGCGATCAGTTTCCCCGACTGTTGATCCTGCACAAGACAACTAGATTTTGAGAACTCAACTCGACAATTATTGTCAATTAGTTGTCTGACAAAAATAAGGTTACTAGTGAGAGCAAGGGAAACATAAACATTGGTTAAAGATGCAGAAATATCACCAATTTCTGTGATAGGTAAGTTATTCCCATCAACAATGTGATTTTGAAGATCACCAAAATATCTTGTAACGTTTGTAAGAGTATCAACATTATTGGTCATGTGATTGGAGGCCCCAAAGTCAAAATACCAAGGAGAACATGGGAGAAAAGGTTTACCTGGAATTCCTAAGCAGAAAAAACTGAAATTATCATTTGTTGAACCATTTCAGGAGTCAGGTTCTGAACATTGGTGGAAGCAATCAGATCCATACTACTAGTAGCAGAAGAGGAACCGACGCAGGCAGTAAATGAGGGTACAATTTTCCTTAGTGGTCTTATAGGGCATTCCTTAATGATGTGACCTTCTTTTTTGCAGTAGTTACAAAACCTTTTAGGACAGTGTGAAGTAAAATGTTCAAGTCCTTTGCAGCAGAAACATTGGACAACACTTATATCTCGTCCTCTAGGCTTTCCTTGTACAACATATGCAACTGGAATAAAAGAAGATTTATGTTGTTCCATTGTTGTTTAAGTTAGGATGCGTTGTTCTTCACGAAGAAGCTCATTAAAGCATGCATCCAAGGTGGGGACAATGGCTTTATTCATGAGATTGGATCGGATACCTTCAAAATCAGATTTCAATTTCCTAAGAAATTGATCTCTTTGTGTAGTTTCATGAACTTTTCACACTGCAATTTGATCGGTAGCTGACAAATCTTCATAGACAATGTCAGTGTATTCAGCCCAAAGATTGATGAAATGAGAAAAAAATCCAGAAATTAAGAGACTATCCTGTTGAAAAATGACAATGTCGTGTTCTAGCTGGAATTTGCGAGCTGTGTTATTTTGGCTGTATACTTTTTTTTAGATAGTCCCACATCTTTGTTGCAGTGTTAAATGACTTAAGATTGAGAACAATGGTAGAATCAACAGAGCCTATGATCCATTCCATGACTTGAGCATCTTTGACTACCCATTTGACATGCTCTTCCTTATGCTTCTCTTTGTCAGGAGTAAACTTGGTGCTGTCAACATGACCCAAAGGTCCTTACTGGTGACAAATATCTGGAACTGAAATGCCCAAGTTGAGTAGTTTTTGTCATTTAGACGAATGAATAAAATATCATATTTGTCATACTTTTCAGTAAACACAAGGCTGAGAAAAAAATGTCAGGGACAAAAAACTAGATCTGGAGATTCTGGATAGACTTGAGAAAGACAAGAGACTTAAAACTTTTGGACTGAAATAGAAAAAGATCGAAACCTAGATTAGTACCATGTCAAACATAAAATATATTGTAAATTGTCTGTTTTGCTGCTGTATTATTTCTCTCTCTGTCTGTCTCTCTCTCTCTCTCTCTATATATATATATATATATATATATATATATATATATATATATATATATATATATATATCTATATATATATATATATATATATATATATATATATATATATATATATATATATATATATATATATATATATATATATATATATATATATATATATATATATATAATCTATTTTCATAATTAAGAAAATGCTATATAATTAGCACTAATAATAACTAATATTCCACTAATAATGATGAAATTATCAGCGACATTCAACTCAATCAAATACATGCCAACACAATTTGACAACTTCAAATTATATTCCACCTTATCAAATATAGGTAACTTCTAGTTAGGGCTGGAAATGAGTCGAGTCGAGTCGAACTCACCTCAGCTCGGCTCGACTCGTTAAGAATTGTTCGAATCCGAGTTCGAGTTCGAGTTCGACACGAACTTTTTTTTAAGCTCAAACTCGACTCGTTATAAGTTCACGAACAGTTCAGTTCGACTCGTTAGGTTCATCTCATTAGGTTCAGCTCACATGGTTCACGAACTTAAAAACTATTTTTTGAAATATATATATTTTTTAGTATATTTGACATTTTAAATAAATATATATTTTTTAAATAAAATATTAAAATAAAATAAAATAAAAGTTATCATATTGATATTTAACTTTATCTTCGAAATCTACTAATTCAAAACCTACACAACTTTCAAGAGATACATTTGAGAGTCTAATTCAAAAACTACTAAATTGAAGATTAAATTTGTCTAAGATTTGAAGTAAATATTTAAACTTAATCTTAAAGATAGTATAATTCTTTTCATATGTAATTGAGTTGACTCATAAACCTAACGAGTCGAACTATGTATAGTTCAAGTTCAGCTCATTTAGTTAACGAACTTAATTTTTCGCTCATACTCAACTCATTTGGTTCATGAACCTAGTTCAACGATTTAATTATCGAGTCGAATTCCGAACTATCTTCGAGTTGGTTTGGTTCATTGCCAGCCCTACTTCTAGTAGACTCATTACTTCAACTTAATTCAACATATCTATATGGAATACAATCTTTTTTATAATATATTATGTCAACTTTGTTACAAATATTTAATTTAATTGATAAAAAATATTTAGTTGAATTGATAAAAAAATTCATATTTTCGTAATTAGATTCTTTCGACTATTTTAAAATACTATCTCTATAAAAATTGCTCTAATCCTCTATATCTCTTGGATCGGTCTTGAATTTAATGGAATTTGTTTGTTTGTTAAAATAACATTCTTTAGTTTTTAATCTCTTGACTTACGGTTGAAATGCATGTCATAACATTACATGGATTAAGAAAGACACTTTTAATATATCAAATTTAAGATAAACCCCATATATATTACTAGTATTTCGTATCCAATACAAAATAATAAATAAAACAGCAACAATATCTCAGTCAAGCAAAAGGAGTACGATTAAACAGTAAAAAGTTTCGAGAATTATGTTTTGTTTTGCTCTCTTTCTTACCGTGTTATTATCGTGTGTCGGCAAAAAAAACCAAGCGCTAATGGTTTGGAAGAAAAAGAAATAGCCACGTGTAGCGAGTACCAGCTCCCGCACCAAACACATACAACTTAATCCTCATTCCCATCAAACACGCGTAATGTTTTACGCTAAAATATTTCTCTCTCCTCCACGTGTTCCCCATACTCGAGATTTTTACGCTCTCTCCTTTAAAACCAAAACACTCCTTCACTTTCTCTCCACTCTCAACCTCTTCTCTTCTCATCTTCTCCCATGGCTTCTTCCACCGCAGAACTCAAACAACGGTTCATCACGCCCGACCAAACCACCACCACCACCACAGCCACAACAAACGACGACGACAAAAATGGAACAACTAATCACAAAAGAGCCAAACGAATGGCGTTGGCCAGACGCGGTCTCAGATCACTCATAATAGCGGTTTCATTCCCTCTCTCGATGACCATTTTATCCATCTACATAGCCTCTTCCTTCACCTTCTCCAACCACAACAACGAATCCATAACCTCTTCAAGAAAGCCTTTCTGGTTTCCACCATCATGGCTCCTGCATCTCATGTTACCTTCTTGCAGCTTCGTCATGGGTCTCTCAGCTTGGTTGGTGTGGGCGGAAGGTGCCTTTCATACAGATCCGACTGCTTTTTTGCTTTACACGATTCAGCTTCTCTTCACTGTGTTGTGGGAGCCCGTGGTTCTTGGAGTTGGGGCAACGAGTTTTGGTTTGATGCTATGTTTGGGAATTTTTGGGAGCTTGATTGGGTGTATGTATGTGTTTGGGAAGGTTAATCCTGTTGCCAGTGATTTGATAAAGCCTTGTTTGGCTGTCGTTTCTTTTCTTTTCATTGTAAATCTGAAGCTTATTTATATCTGAAACTTTTGAATACATACGTGTTGTTTGTGTTGTAGTATACAGATCTTGCAATGGAAGGAAACATAAACAAGGTTATCTTAGAGACACCATGTGTAAATAATTCCCACTATTTTGTACTGTTTTTAGTTCAAATGTTAATTAGATTGCACTTTTGTTATATGATATCAATCTATCATGTCCTTTGATGTTAGAAATACAAACAGAAACATCTCATTGTTATAATAGAAGCATAGCTCTCTCTTTCCTCAACAGTGAAGAGTAATGACATGTGAAATAAGATATTATGAGAGGATTCTAACTTAAAGTTTAAGATTAAGGAATCGTTGGATTTAATGGTGGATGATCTTGAAGAACAAGCTAAAATTGAAATCCAAATGCATGACTTCAAGAAATAGTTGGGGTATTTTGACACACAATTGACCAAACTAACACTTGAGAAATCTACTCTGACACTACTCTGACAGATTGGTGAAATTCGGTTGGGTTTGAGTGTCCAGAGCTCAAAAGATTTGCAATTCGCATACTCAACTTGACATGCAGTTCATCAGGTGGAGTGCTTTTAAGATGACAAAGCTTTCATCTTGTTTATCTTGGTTTTTTCATTTGACATGCAGTTCATCAGGTGGAGTGCTTTTAAGATGACAAAGCTTTCATCTTGTTTATCTTGGTTTTTTCATTTGTTGTAATCAAAGTCCATACAAAAAGAAGGAATCGATTGAAATAAAAAAATAATGAATGAATGATGTTGTATTTCCAAAAAAAGTAAGGAGAAGAACATTTGAGATAGAGTTTGATGATCTTGGATATGATGATGATTGGCTTATGGACGAACTGGCGACATTAAAATTTCATATAAAAACCTTGTTGAAATGAATAAAGAACAAATTCAAGATTCAAGAGGATAATATTCTTCTTCATGATTCGGAAGATGAACATGACAAAGGGAGAAATGAAAATGAATTTGAGAATGACTTTGAGATGAAAATGAATTTGAAGATGAAAATGAAAGACGACAATGATATAACCGACTCTAACAGGAAATTGAGTGAATTTTCATTAAGTTTTTTTTTTTTAGAACTTTTCAATTGTTATTTGCTACTGTTTTGAATGTTGTGTTGATTTGAATTGCTTTAAGTTAATTTCAATGAAATTTTAGTTTTCTAAAGTAATTTTAGTATTTTTGATTTTATTTATTTATATTATGTCAATGTCATATAAGTATTATTTATCTATATGAAATATATATATATATATATATATATATATATATATATATATATATATATATATATATATATATATATATATATATATATATATATATATATATTTTTTTTTTTTTTTAATTTGGTAGGATTTTACGATCCGTATTACAAATCTCCGATTTACGATCTAATTACTCGATCTTGTGTAGGATTTCGAGTCTAATCTTTTATGAAAGATAATCCATACAGTTGTGCGAAAAATTCCATTAAACAAAATTTCAACTAATAAAAACACAATTGAGATTGAATTCCAATGACTAAATTTTCAACTAATAAAAACACAATTGAGATTGAAATCCAATGACTGAACAATCAGAAACAGTGACTGTTATAATCCTCTTCAAATCTTGTTTTCATAGTTTAACTCCACCTTTTACAACATTCCAGACCAATTTTTATTTTATAAGGGCCGAAACAGCTAAGCACTCCATACAATTTGATACGCTTGGAATACAGTATATTGCAAAATTAAGGTCTAGCCAACTTTCATACTTAACTCCATTTACAAGAAAATTTCAAAATGCTTGGAATACAGTATATTGTAAAATTAAAACCAAGACAGTAGTTAGGATTTTCAAAAATATATATTAGTTTTTTAATTCTAAATTTTGAAGAAAATATTTAAAGAAATTTCAGTTGTTTGATGTGGTTTCTAATGTCAAAAGACGTGTATCATACTCATTACTAATATGAAAGGGCGTCTATCACGCGGCCCGATGTGGTTGCGGAGACTATCACATCAGCAACATTGCAGCGACGTTTATCACACCGGTTCCTTATGTGGTTCCTTATGTGAAAGGGCGTGTATCACACGGTCCGATGCGGTTGCAGAGATTATCACATTAACAAATGTTGCGGTTGCAGACCACAATTTAAGACATGGTAGTAACCAGAAACATAAAAATACAATGAATCATACACAAACATGTATTTTATATGCAAACTTGCCATAACAGATTTCCATTACTACCTGAAAATGTGTGTTCAAATACAATTCTACAAAACGTTTTAAGCCCAGATGCTTTAAGAAGAGTGAGTGGTTACATAAGAATATCAGACTAAACTGCATATCCCACTTTCCTGTTTCTCACAATGTACTTTCTACCTAAAAATTAATGATAAGGAGACTAAATTTCTATTTCTGCAGCTAAATATGCAACACATTTCAATCCATCTAAAACATCTCAGCTAGAAGAAGATACCTTAACAGCTTTAAAAGTAGGATGAAGCAAACCAAGTTCATCTTTAACCTCAAGAGGATTACTAGTCTCATTCCTTATTCTCCTAACTCTCCTACTAACCAATGACTTATGTGTGAATCCATAAATCTGCAATATCTGATTATCACCAAAATTGAAAGCTCTATCCATCTGCTTCAAGCATCTCTCAACAGGATAATCACCAAACTTCCCACAAGGCTTACATCCCACAAAATGAGTCACCAATGGCCATCTATGATCACCAAAACCAGGATGATAATTCTCAATCATTTCCTCATATCTATCAACCAAAATCCCCCAATATCCATGCAAGTAGTAACCATTCTCAAGATAAACCTTATCACCCCATATTTCCTTCTCCTTAGCCAACAAATAAACCATAGCAGATTGATCATCGGCTTCGAAAACCGGCCGATCTTTGAGTTCCCGCGTAAGTATTTTCCCAGCTTCTTCCCTAACTTCCCCTTTTGGTCCCATTGGTGCCCAAACATCAAGAATATCCAATGACCATTGACAGTTTCTCAACAAAAAACTCCCAGTATTCAACCCAATCCAATTCTTCTCATCATACACCATCTCATCCCAACCATGCATCACCAAATTAGAGTCTTTATACCTCTCCCACGGAACTTCAAAAGCCATATCTGTAAACATGGCATCACTATCCATCCACCACAAAAACTCCACTTCAGGGTGTGATAAAAGAAGCTTACGAATCAAAGGAAGCTTCGCCCAAAAACCAGCCATTTCAGCATCCAAAAGAGCCATATTGTAAAACACTTCAATACCATGTAAACGACAATAATCAATCTTGTTCTTAATAGACTTCAACAAGTAATGATCACCCACCGGATTCTCACACGGTTTTGGCGACGACCCAGTTACCAAAAGCACACGAGGCTTTCCGGGTCGAATGAAATTCGGGAAATCAGGGTTGTCATTAAGCCATTTTGATCTCTGCTTATCCCAATTCGAAATCTTCGGTCCTAAACGATAAGCCTTGTCGGAGCTGCTTTTTTTGTCTTCTTTCTGTTCTTCTTCATCGACCAATATTGTGTTGATGTCGAATGCATTGTAATTGTTTGCAGAAATGTCTGAACGAGAGGAAGAAGAAGTGGAAGACGAATGAATCTCGGCGAGAATGCGATGAGATTCAGGTAGCTTACGAGAGGTGAAGCGGTTGCGAATGTCAACAAAATCTTGCTCCGGCGTACCGAATTTACCGGCGCCGATTGTGCCACGTAGGACAACAATGGTGAGGACAAGACAGAGGATTGTAACCTTACAATGTCTGAGAAATCTGTAGAATTTTCTAGCCCTTTGAGCTCCCAAAAGCTTGTGTAACATTTTTTGTTGTCACCAATGTGGTTTTTGGTGAAAAAGGGTAATGAATGAATGAATGAATGAAAAATCCAGAAAGGTGATATAATTAAAGTTGGTGACAAACGCGATTAATGCAGAAGCGCGTTTGTTTGTTTGTTTATAATATTGCGTTGTTGATGAATGAAGAGATAACAAAAGCAGTCAAAGGTTGGCGAAAGACAGCATATTCTATTCGTATAACACAAATAAACAGTCTGGTTTTGGAGAGTTTGTAATAATATATTTATTTTTCTCATATTAGTATTATTTTTCATACAGTTTTGAAGTTTCTCTACCCAAAAAGAAACAAGTATAAAATAAGGTAAATTATTTACTATCCATTAGTTTAAGTTGCATATGTATTTTTAATATAAATTTTTAAAATTTTGTAATTTATTTTAAAATAAATTATTTAGTATTCACGAATTTAAGTTGGATATCAATATCCAACTAAATTAAAGAATATTAAAATGTTTACCATAAATTAAAATTTAAAAAATAATTTGAATAAAAAATTTATTTTATCTACAAATATTATAGAAAGTAATTAAATTTTTCTCCTTTAATTTGATTTAAGAAATTAATTTTTTTAATTTTAAATTCAAATAGTTTTTGTCTCACTTTTACATTTTTTAATAAAAAATGGATGAGATATTTATTTTTTAACTATATTTTATCTATAAAATTTTAAATGTAAAAGAATAAAAAAAAACAAAATATTTAAATTTAAAATTAAAAAAAAATAATTTTGTGAATCTAGATAATCAAAATTATAATTAAACTTCACATAAATTATGACACTTTTGTTGAGTTCTCTCTTTTTTTTAATAATTAATTCAGTTTTCGATGTGGTATGCTAAATAATAACTATTAAGAAAATTTCATTCATAATCAATTAAAAAGTATAATAAACGTATAGAATAATTAAAAAGAAATTAAAGATGCAGTTTTTCTTCTTTTTACACTACTAATAACTACATTTGGTAAGTAATTTACCTAAAATTGCAAAAGTAATATATAATTTAGAGATAATTTTATTTTAATTTATTATCATTGAAAATGTAGCATATTTAACTTTGATTGAATATCGATATTTTAAGAAAAATTGGCTTAAAAATTTAATTAATTAATAAAATCATATATAAAAGACACGATGTTGAATAGAAAAATGATATGTACATATCCTCTCAAACCTCTTAATATTAAATACTTTTTATTTTATTTTTTTAATTCTTAATTTATTTTAACTTAGTTTGGTTGAGTTTGAATGCCTTATATACATCTAATATAATTCAAATTCAGTTTATTTAGAATATTTTTTAAATATACATTACATTTATTAAAAAGTTCTATTACTATTAGATAAAATAATAAATCATATGTAAATATAACTTATAATAGTATATTGTGGCCGATCATATTGGTCACCACCAATATGATCATTCTAAAGGAACTCTAACCCTTTTAGAATCTTTTCAGTATACTGGAACTGCCTTGCAGATAAGTACATAGGAGACTCAGTCTCGCATTGCATCTAACGATTCTCTGCAATTCATTCATAATAAGTAGCAAGTTTGTTATTTCTTCTATACAACATATCGAGTGCGCGTCAATTCATGTACTTAGTTTCAAATTCAATTTCAACTCACTTTTCTCTCTCACATACTGAATTGAGCGTTCAAGTGCCAACGTTGCAGGCCAGCCTCCCTCTACGTCGCACTAGAAGCTCATATCTGTCATTACCTTGTAAGTAAGAATTGCGCCTAAGAGGGGGGGGGGGGGATGAATTAGGTTCTTTTGAAATTTTCTGGTTTTAAGAGAGTTATGTTACTTTCTTTTAACGGAGTGATGTTATGAAAGCTTGTAAAGGCAGAAAGTAAAAGAGACACAGGAAATTTATAGTGGTTCCCCTCGCACTCCGAGGGTACTCCACTCCCCTTTCGACTCGAAAGAGATTTCACTATAGTTAGGATCAGTGTACAACTTTCTTTCTAACCTATAGGGAGATCAAAGGCTCTTAAACACCTTTAAGATCTGAACACTAAGTGCAATGAGAACAATCCTCTCCAATGCACACACTTGCTTTCAACAATCCTGAACAGCAAGGGGAAATAAAACAATTTGTTTTGTAATGAGTTGTAACAATGTATACAGTTGTTTATCAATGCTGAGATTGATCTTCTATTTCAATGGGAAATTCCACAAGTTTCTAAGACTTATTGCTCAAGAATTTTCTTTTCAAAGGATATGAAATTTATGCAGAAAATTCTTTGTGAAAAGTGATTTTTCTTAGATGTGGAAAGATGAAATTGCAATAAAGATTTTGAAAGAGATGTATGTTTGAATTTTGAAAGATTTAGGTATTTATATTACACAAACACCTCTTGAGAAAAACATGCAAATTTCCAGAAAAATTGATGAACGGTTGTCATGTTTCAAAGGAAATATTCCACAGAAATTCGATTGAAGAGATGCAATTTTTCAGAAAGATTTTTCAAAAACGTTCAGTGAGCAATCGATTGCACAAAGAGCCCAATCGATTGCACCTTCACAAACACACTTAAAATTCAAAATTTCAATAGAGCAATCGATTGCACCTTTGGACCAATCGATTGCACTTCAAAATAGAAGTGAAAAATTGAGAAATTTTAAGCATGCAATCGATTGCATCAAAGCAGCAATCGATTGCTTACTGAAACAGAAGCAAAAAATGAGTTAAAATATTGATCATGCAATCGATTTCTCTAAGAGTGCAATCGATTGCACTTACAAAAACTTAGAAAAATTCTCATTTAAAAAGCTTGTGTTAGTGTGAAAAGTAATGTAAACGATTTTTTAATGATTTGAGCAATTAGGACTTAAATACTTAATGGAAGTTTTCATTATACCTTATGAGGAAAACATCCTTAAAGTTGTGTCTTTGTCCTGATGCTTGGTGGTTGATCATCTTTGCCTTCTTAAGTGATTTGTCTTCATCAAAACATATGTTGATCTCTGAGAATCTTGATTTCACATTCTCCCCCTTTTTGATGATGACAAAGCATTCTTCTTTTGTTGCAATGTTCTTTCCGGCAAAATTTTCCCCATATAGAACTGTTCATGAAACAAACGCTCTAATTGGGCCCAATAATAAACTGAATTAGGAGGCAACGTAGTAAACCATGTAAAAGCATTTTTTGTGAGAGAAATTGGGAAGTATTTAATCCTAAGGCTTTCGTCTCCATCTATCTCTCCTGCTTCGATCATATACCTAGCCACATGTTCGACGGTTGACTCAGTAGTGTCCCCTGCAAACTTACTAAAATTTGGAACCTTCTTCCTAGGAGGTAACTCAGCCTGCAGAATATAATCCACTATAGGTGAAGTATAATTTGGTCTTGTAAAGCCAAAGTTTGCTCCATTTATGGTCATTATCCTTTTGACCATAGCTGCAAGGTTATTCTCTTCTGCTGCATCGTGATGTCGAACTTGCCTAAGTATTTGGTCAGCATTTTGATTTTTGTTCACCATGACTATTCCTGGTTCTTCCTCCATATGGGTTGGTACCTGATTCCTTTGTGGTTCGACTCTGAGAGGTTCGCCCATCTCTTGGTCCTCTATATTCGCCTCATGGACGTTCCGTTGTTGATATCATGGAATGTTCTCGACAACTGTTGCTCTTTGCTCATATGCTGGTACTCCTATAAAATCAGCCATACGGGCTAATTGTGTCGCCAACTGCTTATTAGTTTGAGTGGTATTCTAAATTAGAGGTTGAAAGACTTCCCCCATCGTTTGAGACAACGTGTGCACCATTTGCATATTACTTTCATCCATTTGCTGTCTTAAGCAGTTTATATATGTATTTGTGAGACTAGGTGCCTGCACAGAGTAACCAACACCTATGCTCTGGTTGTTTCGACCACCTGATCCAGATCCTTGCACTAGCGAAGATACCACATTTTCTGAAAATATGGGTGGAGCATTATGCAAATTCTGCATTATTGACGTAGGACTTTATGGTCCTATATACTCCAACACAGGTTGAGTGTATGTTCGTACACATGTTGATCCTAAACTCACCATAGGCTGCATTTGTTCAGACACAACTACTGGTGGTGGTGTCTGTCCTCCTGTCGAAGAGACTGGATATGGAGTATTCTGAAACCCCATACTTGACTGAGTGTTTGAAATGCTTCCTTGAGGATCAACTTGTTGATTAGCACTTGTTGCCATTCTTTTAATATATCTCCTTTTTGGTACTTCTTCGTGTGTTGTGGCTAACTTTCCACTCCTTAATAACATACAACGAAGTATTCACCCAAAAAATTAATGTAAACTGTGAGATGCTTAGCACTGGGTCCCACCAGGTGTGCAAGTTTATTTACTGTGAATTTTGGTAAACAACCGTTAGTCTGTCAATTTAGGGTGAAATTGAGTAACTTGCAGGATCAACCATACTAAATCCTAGAACATGTGCTAAGTATGCAAAAAAGACCCTAAGATGAACTCCACGTTCGACTATGAAATCTTTTGGAAAGTAAGATGACTTGAAGATTAAAAGCAATAAGTAAAAGAAAGCATATAATGTGTCGAAGATTAAAGGCAAGAATGTAAAAGTGCAGAAATGTAAAGGCTTTGAAAGATAAATGTCGAAAGTAAAGTGCAGGTTTGAAAATAACTGCAATAATGTAAAGGCAAAAGATTATAATCTGAACTCCGCGTTCGACTATGGAATCTTTGGAAAGTAAATGACGTTGAAGATAAATATGCAAGAAAGTAAATTGCTTTGAAAATAAATGTGCAAAAGACTCTAATCTGAACTCCACGTTCGACTAGGGGATCCTTGAAAGTAAAGGTGCAGGAAAGTTAAATTGCATGAAAGGTAAAGGGAATTTTAAAGTTGCAGAAAAGCTTGTAAAGCGGTTTAAATGTAAAAGCTGAAGGTTAAAAGGCAACAAGTAAATGGCAAGGATAAGTAAATTGCATTAATGAAAAAAGGTTGGTGTTGTATCACGTACATTCTCGCTAACTCGTTTCTCTACATGCGGGCACTTTGAGTTGTTTGCAGTGACTAATACAAAAATGAATGAACACCCTTATTCTATAAAAATAACACCTATTTATAGTGCTAGAAAGTAGCTAATAGATGACGGTTACAGCTTCACAACATGTCCCTTTTGGCGCGCTTACACAACCTCAACTGCTCCCACGTTCGTCCACTCTTGGTTTGAAACTTGAATGTTTAAGAATTCCCTCCAACTTTGGTGGTAACTGCCTTGCGTTCTCTTCAGCATGATCCTTGTCGAGCATTCTCCAATAATTAGCATTTTTATAACTTTTGTCCACCTTTCTTCGACTTGGATTTCTTCATAGTTGTGTCGAAACATTCACATGTTTTAAATTGACATTTTGACTTAAGATATTTCTGAATTTAACTAGCGTCGAAAAATGAGAGCTAACAACTATATGCTCAAGATTTACAATTTTATCTTCTACAAGTTCCCTGATGAAATGATGCCTTACGTCAATGTGCTTAGTTATACTGTATTAAACAAAATTCTTCAAAATATTTATAGCACTCAAGTTGTCACAGAATAATGTCATGACATCTTATTTAACAATATACTCCTTCAACATTTGTTTCATCCAGAGAAATTGTGTGCAACCGCTCCCTACAACAATATATTCAACTTCAACTATAGACAATGAGACACAATTTTGCCTCTTGCTGAACCGAGATACTAAGTTTTTGCCAAGGAAGAAACATCCACCAGATGTGGTATTTATATCATCTGCACTTCTAGCCCAATCAACATCACAATATCATACTAGTATTAAGTTAGTGTCATATGAGTAGAGAATTCCTTAATCACATGCCTCGTTGACATACGTCAGAATTCTCTTCACTTGAGTAAGATGACTAGTCTTAGGTTTAGCTTGATATTTGGCACAAAAACCTATAGAAAACGTGATGTCATGTTTACTTGTTGTGAGGTAGAGTTTACTCTCAATCATGCTTTTGTATAAACTTTGATCTATATCAACTCCATTTTTATCTTTGGTTACTTTCGCATGAGTAACAACATGAGTTCTTTTGTTGATTTCATTGTCAATTCCAAACTTTTTCACTATACTCTTAGCGTACTTGTTTTGAGATACAAAATGATGTCTTCCATCTGCTTAACTTGAAGTCCAAGAAAATAAGTGAGTTCTCCTACAAGCCCCATCTCAAATTCAAACTTCATTTGTTGGACAAAATGCTCCACCATCTTGTATGACATTCCACTAAATACAATGTTATCAACGTATATATGATCAATCACGAGCTTTCCTCTATCATTATTCACAAAGAGTTTTTTTTTATCAATTCAACCTATTTTGTATCCATTGTTGACCATGAACTCAATTAACCTTTCATACCGAGCTCTTGGAGCTTAATTTAAGCCATAAAGAGATTTATTTAACTTGTACACATGATTTGGAAGACTAAGATCAATGAACCTTTTTGGTTGCTCTACATAGACTTCTTCATTAAGATATCCATTTAGGAAGGCATTTTTCACATCCATTTGATACAATTTGAATTTTATCATGCATGAAATTCCTAGTAACAATCTCATGGACTCAAGTCAAGCAACTGGAGCAAATGTCTCATCAAAACCAACTCCTTTCATTTGAGTGTACCCTTGAGCAACTAGCCTTGCCTTATTCCTTGTTACATTCCCATATTTATCAGACTTATTCTTGAGTATCCACTTACTATTGATGACATTTACATATTCAAGTCTTAGAACTAACTCTCATACATTATTCTTTATGAATTGACCTAGTTCCTCTTGCATAACATTTATTCAAAATTCATCATTCAGAGCTTATTTTACATTCTTAGGTTCAATCTTGGAGATAAATCAAGAATTGGAAATCATATCTCTGGATCTGGTGATGACTCTACCATTCAGGTTACCTATGGCATATTCAATGGGATGATCATATCTTTATACTTGTTGTTTCATAGATTGGGTGGCAAAAAGTTTTAAATCTAGAAACCCAATTCAAACCCCCATTTCTTGTGTTTCTTGTACCTTTATGGTAATGACTAAATATATTTTATTACCATTTTAAACTCATTAATCAATTAATTTTTTGCATAGTACTCAATTAGAGCTTTGTGCCAATCGATTGGATCGCTATTATTGGCCATAAAACTTTTTCTTTTTTGTGCCAACCTTTAGCCTATAAATAGAGGTCTCTTCCCACATATTTTTTCATTCAGAAACATGATTTCATTTCTTACTTCTCACACTCTCTCTCTAAAAAAAATTATTTACTTTTTCTCACTAAAGTTTAGCCGTAGCGCTTTCGAGAAAGTTGTTTTGTGAGTGAGGAAGCTGTAATTCTATAAGGATAATTTTGTAAGTTCACCAAGGAAGTTTTGTTTTTACCTTGGTTGAACATTTTACTCACTTAGGAATGATATGTTTGGATTTGAAGTTGAACTAATGAGAAGCTTTGGTTTGAGATTGTGTGATCAAGTTTCTGTTAAGGTTCAAGATTGATCCACTGTCAAAACCTCATAAGTTTTTGGTTAGCTCAATATAAAACCAAGCTTCTGTTAAATCTTAGCCAGTGATAAAATCTTGTTTCAGTTCAAGATTAACTCGGTGGTAAAATCTTATAGGTTCTTTGTTAGCCTGGTAGAAAACCAAGTTTCTATTTGAGCTCAGCCTAGTGTTAAAAGCTTTCTAAGGTTCAAGATTAACTCGTGATAAAATCTTTGTTTGAAGTTTGAAGACTAATCGCTCCAAGTTTCTTGTGAAAAGGAGATTAACCGCTTTGATCCATCATTTGGAAGAAAGATTTATTGGTTATCTTCCTATTTTATTGTTTGGTAGGAAGTTAGCCACATACTTCATTTTTCTTGTATTAGGAGGTTCGAGAGTTCAAGCTACTAAAAGCTCTTAAGTTTATTGAATACTCTCAAGATCAAATCTTGGAGATAAGACTAAGTCAATTTTTCTAAAAGTGTTTTCAAACTTTTATTTTAATTCGATTTTTTTTAACTTAAGTTTTTCTGAAACACACAATTCATCTCCCTCTTGTGTGGGAAGTCACATGTTCAATAATTCTTAGCAAGAAGGGCCAACATCTACCTCAATTACTCGTACGAAGAGTTTCCATATCTAAAACGGGTTTGGTCTCTACATCATTTGGTACAATGGCACTAATGTTGTAGTATTTAAAGAATTGCTCTGCTTTAAAAATACATTCAATTACATGAGTATCACCAACTCTAGAAATTTTAAATTTCACATTTGAACCTAAAATAGAGTGTGGTTACGATCGATGTGTGAGTTCTTATCATCGTGTTGTGATATCGTTGCGCGTTGTAACAACGAATCTACAACCGTTTCAATCAGAGTCACCAGTCTTCACTTTCATTTTAATTTTGTTATTCGTTGTGCATAGTCAAGATTCTTAATGTCCATGGCGTCCATGGATTTCTTGAGCTGGGTTTGCACATATTTCTTAATTGCATCTTGAATCTTCTTAAAATGTAGATATGATGATAATGAAAGCGCCAATGTAATATAGTGAGTGACAATTTTAATTGAGGAACAAATTTATTTATGGCAGACTCAACTCACTTCCAGTGTATGAAATAGTTGTGAATTGGAAAATTACAGTTGATGAATGATATATAAGAGTATAGGAGAGAACTCTAGAGTAAGGAAGAAGAGAATAAGATTTCTCATAAAACATCCATGACTCAGATTCTCAATCCAATTCCTATAAATACTCAACTAAACATAGAAATCATTTGGCCTAAGTGATGCCATCCTCAAACACCTTCCTCTCCTCGCTTCTTGATTTTGTGGATCCATAATCGAATTAGCTGCACTTGCATATTCTAGAATGTGTCAGTTGTGTCTCTCTCCTTCGCGGAATTCTTGATACAATTACACAATGGTTTTTAAAGAAAGTTGAAAGTTTTGGATCTCTTTCTAAAAAATTTAAGAGTTAAGTCTCTCCTCTTAAATAACCACTTTCTAATCCAAAACGGTCTACAAAATTTAAGAATTTATTCACACACATTACATAAAACTTACACAATCACGACCGTAACTGCTATTATAAATTATAATATTTATTTAATAATAATAAATAGTATAAAATATGTCCCATCTAGGACTTCTTGATAGAAACAGTCCAAAGAAGATCTGAATCAGACTGTACTGTTACAATATCTTCTTTTAGAATATTTGACGTACTTATTAAATCGCCAAATCTCATCTCTGTGTGATCTGAAATTGTCAAAATAGATTGTTAATCATCAAAGTACATAGCAAACAAGATCATAACTAGATGATTGAAAATGATATTAAAGATTAGAGTTAAATATGTTTGTGGTCCTCATAAATATCTCAAATTTTAATTTTAGTCCTTTAAAATATTTCCTTAAAAGAATGGTCCTTCTAAATTTTTTTCCCACACTTTTAGTTCATAATACTAAAACCGTCGCTAAAACTGTCGTTAATTCAATCGCTAAATAAAAACCGCCGCTAAAACCGTCGTTAATTCTGTGGTTAAGTTGTAAAACCCGTTGCTAAGTTCTACGAGGGACCAAAAATGTTGGTTAAAATTTTTAGCAGGACTATTCTTTGAATGAAATATTTTGAGAAACTAAAAACGAAATTGAAATATTTATGAGGACTATAAACATATTTAACCATAAAGATTATGATTCATCTGAAATAAACTTTTAACTATGACAAATATTTTATGAGATCCTATTATATAATCAAGATAATGCAGATAGATATTGCATACAGACGGATAACAAACTGCGCCGCTTTCCCTTTTTAAATGACAAAATCAATCCTCTTAAATACTCTATTCATTGTTCCAGTGACACAACATTAACACTGTATTGTACGAGCTTTTGCACTCTAGTATTTCATTCAACAACAGCTAAACAAGAATACAAAATTTACAGGTTTGGAACTAAAATATCAAATAGCAAATTCATCAAAACATTCAATACTTACCGAGGTCCCACTCAAGTCCCGTGGTTGTAGAACTTCCACATGGTATCCCAATGGGAACTAGTCCACAGTGTGGACCCTCGACAGAATTTTGAATGAAGATCTTATGCAAGTGATTCTTTGGAAGAAGATGAATGAGACAATCATCAGATAGAAGGATAATACGTGTGTTTGAGAATAGACACAGCACATTGATATTTCCAATCTCGTGATCAAATCTCCCTCCAAGTGCTCCAGCAACGAGAATGCATAGCTGTCATCATGTTGAGATTAATTCCAATGCTACACCATAAATACATACATAGAGGTATCACCGGATATTAAACTTACTTCTGATTTATCAGTATTTGGTGTAAGGTCACGTAAGAATGCAACACATTTGTGCAAATCTGTAGTATCCTGATCTTGAGACTCGTCGATTATCTTCGTTCCCTACAGGTAATCAAAGAGCATAAAATCTTCAACATGATTTATAGAATGAACAGTAAATAAATAAATCCAAAGTAGGAAAAAAAAACATATATAGGACATTGAGATTGAAATTGACAAACAAAAGTTATAAAGATAGAAATAAAGATAGTACCAGTTTTGCATAGAAATCAAGAACTTCTGTCCTGATTGAATCCAAGTCACCTTTGATTGCATCAGGCTTGTACCTGACAGAAACCATGACAGTCAGATAATAAGAAACAATTTAAAATAGCAAACCAATCATCTCTTACTAGAATATATTCATGAAGTTTCACGTAAAACAGTGAAAAGATAAAACAAATAGTTTATTACTAATATATAAAAAGTGTTCATTTAAATTTTTTACGCCTCAACAAATATCACAATCTATTAGCAAATCCAAATAGAAAAAGGATTAGAAAAATGATGGAGCACTTATATTTTATTTTTACATTGTAATCGATGATGATAATCATATAATCTGTTAACTAGTGTGGAAATTTTAAATTATTTATAAAATCTTAAAATATTTTAATTGAATGTATATGTAATATTTTTTTACATGGTGCATTATCATTAAACTCATATAAAATATATTTAACTTATATATCTATAATTGATATGTTAAAATTGTATATCCCTATTATGATCAATGAAATTATTCATCAAAATAATATGTGAGCTTAATATATATATATATATATATATATATATATATATATATATATATATATATATATATATATATATATATATATATATATATATATATATATATATATATATATATATATATATATATATATATATATATATATATATATATATATATATATATATATATATATATATATATATATATATATATATAATTTGATAATAATAAAAATAATAATTTGAAAAAAATTAAACAAAAAAACTATCAAATAAATTATTGAATAATAGCTGTAATTGTAAAAAGAAAATTGAACAATTTACATTAAATGAAAGTATTCTTTTAATTACTATAAATGAAATTTTTATTTATAATAATACATTAATTTCTTTTTAATATAAGACACCGGGGGATAAAGAATTTACGAGTAAATATACAAATGAGAAAATCCTATTATTTTAGATAAAATTTTCATTCACCGTCTCTTTATGACTACTCGTGTATTTATTGTAGTTATTTTATAAAAAATTTAAATTTTTTTAAAAAGAAAGTATGATATGCGCCAATAGTATAAAACTAGTTCACACAGTCAGCCAATCACTCTTATGTATCCACCATATAAAATTATAAATTATAAATTATTGATATGACATATAAATTCATAAATTATCTTATAATTTATTTTATAAATTTCTAAAAATAAAAAATATAAGTTAGACGTTATTTAAAATTAATATAATATAATTTTAAAGTGCAAAAATGTTAGAAAAAACAAAATCATTTTAAATTTAAAATAAAATAAAAAATTAATTTTATAAATAAGATAAAATATAAAATACTTTATTTATAAAAAATTATTTCCGCCAATAATTACTTTTTACCATTGTAATTTATTTATTTTGTCGACTTCAACTTGTGTATTTAGACTTTATTTGGTAAAACACATTTTTCAGTTTATAATTTAGAATTTATAATGGTAAATACACAAGTAAATATTATTTTAAAATTTCCGTACATGACATCAGTTGATGGAGCAAAAATTTAGAACGAAATTGAAAAAAAGAAAAAAAAAACTGAGTACTCTGAGCGAATTTGAAAAGGATCTTGTCCAGGAAGTAAAAGAGGCATTTCATCATACAGACGGTTGGCACCTCCATCTGCGCACACTCGTATATGTGCTGCAAACAACCAACAAGTAACAAGCAATGCATGAATCAAATCAATCAATCTAATAAAAACTACATAATAGTTGAAGGCTGCTCGCAGGAAGAGTTACCGTGGTCCCAAAACAGAGGAGTGAGTTTGGGGAGAGGTTGATTGAGAACAATGAGAGCGCATGTCAGAGAGATAGAAGAAGAATCTGCGTTTGGATTCTCCGGCTCAAGAAGGAAGGTTGAGGAATGAGACATCAATTCCATTCTCTCAGACCTTGCTACAACTTACTTAACTTCTTGTTGGCTTTCAATGGAAGTTCTTGTTTCTCCTCCTTCTTCTTATAACATATGTATATGATATTTTATTTCATTATTTTTTATATACTACTATAACTATACTATCATTTTACGTCATTAAAAAGTTTAATATTCAATGAAACTCGTTACACGCTAATATCTTCTCTTCTAGGCCCTAATTTGCAAGCTTCATAGTTTATACTACTAGTTGGGATGAATAGTCAATGATATATATATATATATATATATATATATATATATATATATATATATATATATATATATATATATATATATATATATATATATATATATATATATATATATATATATATATATATATATATATATATATATATATATATATATATATATATATATATATATATATATTTCACATTTTTGAAAATTAGTAACTGAAAAAATTATAGGGTCGAGTCGCGGATTAAGTCCTACCGAACCACGACTAATCCTTATGCTTCATTTATTTGTATGTCACTCATGTATCTTCTGATGCATTGAGGTTGACTGATTGTTCATTATTAATTCTCCTTGATTATGCATTAAAGCTTTTAAGCAAGAGTGTATTGTTCTTGGTTGAAGTTTTTAAGCAAAACCAAGTATTGTACTTGGAAGGGTTGGTACTTCTATTTTGAGTAGTTGTTGAACTGTCACTAGGATTGTGACTGATTAGGAAGTGAGAAGGGGGTCTCATATCTAGATGGTGTCTAGGTAGAAGTTGCACAAGGTAGGGATTAAGTGAGAAGTTATAAACAAAGGAGTTTAGCTTTGAACTAATACTATCATAGTAGATTTCCTTCCTGGCTTGGTAGCCCCCAGATGTATGTGAGTTGCACCGAAATGGGTTAACAACTAGTGGTGTTATTTTAATTTTCTGTCTTTTAAGTTTCTGCATTTTTATTTGTGTGATCAAGCTATTTTGATCCCAGTGTTGTGATATGTGTCTCGACATCTGATATCTGTGTGTCAGAATTTTAACCTTACACCGGTGAGACCTTAATTTGGTTTCTCAATGCTAATGAAGAATAGAGATTACCCTTATGGCATGCCAACATCGATGATCACTTGCCTTCATACTAATATGTCAACTTTTAGTGACAAGGCAATGACAATTGGGCCATCATACAATCCACATAACGCCTCGGCTTCTACTATCGACAATATGGTTCGATCAGGAGGGATAAGTTACATCCCTTAAATGATGCCATCTTTGAATACTACTTCTATGATGTCTATGAGGCAACAGATGAGTGAGAGTAACTTATAATTAGTTAATACTCTGACCCAACAAATGGGAACCATATTTAACCCGTGGATTTCAAACACAACCCAAACCTGTGAGTTGTTAGATAATCAAGTGGATCAAATTGCTAACTTCTTTGGCACACCTCAAGTTCATGGATGACCTACTTGTCGCGGTGAGAATTGGATACCAAAGCTATCGGATCAGCTTGGCTCGCAAAATAATGATATCATATTTTATCCAAGGGAAAAGGGAAAGATCAAACAAAAAATCCTAAGTAAAAATGAAAAGAAAAAAACAAGGCCTAAAGCTAAGTAAAAGAGAGATCAAAGGTACGGGGGTTTGTTATACCTAGGGAAGATGTTAGCATCCTAAGCTTCTGTAGTACTCTACAAGAACCTTTTGAAATATTTGTGTTGGCTAATATTATTTGCTAAAGGTAAAGATGGACAAAGAAAAGAGAAAAAGGAAGAAAATAAAGAAAAAAAAGTTAGAAAAATAAAAAGGTAGCTCGCTAGGATCTCGCAATCCTATGCCTACGTATTCTTAATAGGAAGTCAATCAATTGTAGTTCAGAAACTACGTGTGGAAAAAAGAAAAGTGTGTGAAAAAATAAAAAAGTGATCGCCAAGGATTAAGGCCCTTGTGCCTACGTATTATCAAAAGGAACTTGAGAAATCAAAGCCTCTGTAGTTTGTGGAACCACAGGTTGTTAGGGCTCTAAGAACCAAGAAAAACAAAGACGGGTAAAGAACAAACGAGGGATATGCACAATGACAATAAGTCAACATACAATCCCTTCCCTTAGATTAGGTCAACAAGGAATAGAAAGCAGCAGAAACACAGGAAAACATCATGTAATCAACAAGCATCAAACACAGACACAATACATGACAAAAACATCATGCATAGTTAAACAAACAAGTGATCACAGAATGCACATGAAAAAACATCATGTACAGACAGAAAGTATTAACAACATACATAAAAAAATATCATACATAAACAAACAAGAATACGCAGCAAAGCCTCGCGATAAAATCCACAGGCAAAAAATAACATTCATGAGTAAGACAATCACAAGGACCAAAATTCAACATGGAAAAACAATAAGTCAAAACAAAACAAATAAAATGCTAGAATAAATTCATAAAAAGAAATAACATGCATTTCATATATTTTTTTTTGGTATTTTAATGGATTAAAAGGTTTTGTTTATATATTTTTTAATGGATTAGAAAAAATCAACTAAAAAAGAAAAGGATAAATTAGGAATGAAACTAATACTATATTAGACTATGTTATATACATATTTAAAGCTAATACTATAAATAATGTATATGTGAACCCAAACCAAAAAATATATATCAGAACCTTAACAACGTATGAATTAATACATCAAGTATGTCAAATAAAATAGAATAAATAGATGAATAAAAAAACAGTGACACATAATTACATCATTAAACAAATCACACATTACTTTTCTACATTATAATTAATATACAATGACATTCATCACACCAACTACACTCACTAACAACACACTATATTTGCACAGTTGCACGATATATATCCTCACTTTAATAATAATAAAAAACAAGTATTAAGGACATTAATACTTGACAAAATCACCTATCAAATCTCAATTATCACTAAGCAAACATCACATGTAAAGCTACACAAGGTTAAGACAACAAGTAAAGCTAAAAAAAAAAAGTGAGCTCGGACCAAAATGTTATCGTCGCAGCGAAGGTCGTAGAACCGTTGTTGCCATGTAGGCGAGTTGGTTATAGCTGAGAGACCCGTAGAACTCGAAAATAACGTAGGTGGTGCTTGGTGGTTGTCGAAACGAGAGTTACACTTGTTGCGGTGCGTTGCGAGGTGCGAAATGAAAGAAAAAGGATCGCTGCAAATGCTTGAGGACGATGGCAAAATAGTATGGGAATGGGGTATTATTGAGTGATATAGTCACACGGTTGAAAGCTATGAATGGAAGGAGAAGAAGTGATGATGAATTGGTGTTGTAAGGTTGTAGTTGAAGAAGGAGTATTAGAATATTAATAGTAATTCATATTTATTTAGTTGTACTATTTTCTTAGCCCCTAAGTTTGTTAGAGGGTATTTTAGTATTTTATCTTATTCTAGTAACCCTAGTTTTAGCTTATAAATAGGGTGACAATCATTGTAACTTTTAATCATGTTTTGTAGCCGTCATTCTTAATAGAATATTTCCTCTGTTCATCATTTATTCACCTTTGCACCAACAATTGGTATCTAGAGCTCCGGTTCAGATTCATTGGGAAACACGGGAAACACGAGTGAACGTGAGGTCTTGTGTGTTTGATTTTGATTCTTAGATTCGTGTTGAATCTTGAACAAAATCTGATCAGAATTTTAATTCTGTGGGTTGGGAAACACTGTGTGAGAAATCTGAGTGTATTGTGCAAGGTGAAGATGAACGGAAACGACAACATGAACACCAAGCTTCCAGTATTTGACGGTAAAAACTAGAATCATTGGATGATCCAAATGCGTGTACTGTTTGGTGCTCAAGATGTTTTAGATCTTGTCACTGATGGTTATGTTCCGGTAGCAGCAGATACAACGGATGAACAGAAAAACGCGCAGAAGGAAGTAAGAAAGAAGGATCAGAAAACATTATTTTTTATTCATCAATGTGTTGATGTAAATTTGTTTGAGAAGATTGCAGATTCAACGACAGCAAAGGCTGCGTGGGACACACTAGTTAGATGTTATGGTGGTGACGCAATATGAGAATCTCAACATGAAGAATAATGAGAAAGTTTCTGAATACATCTCCAGAATGATTCTGATCACCAATGAGATAAAGGCGTGTGGAGAAACTCTTTCAGAAGAAACAATAATGGAGAAAGTATTGAGATCCCTTACTCCTTAATTTGATTACATTGTGGTAGCAATAGAACATTCCAAAGATCTGAGTACCATGAGAATTGAAGAGCTGCAGAGCAGTTTAGAAGCGCAAGAGTTGCGTTTGACTGAGAGAACTTCTGAAAGGGAAGTAGAGCAGCAGACTCTGAAAGCAACTTCTGATAGGAGGTATCAGAAGCAGTCAGAAGCCAAGAGAAGATCTGATGGTGGTCAGAAGTCAGAAAGCTCAACCTCTGATAGACAAAAGAATGCTCAGAAGGGAAAAGAGAAGTATGACAAGAAGAAGATCCAATGTTACTGTTGTAAGAAGTTTGGTCACTTTGCTAGAGATTGTTGGTCAAACAAGGAGAGAAAATCAGAAGAAGCAAATATAGCCAGAAATTCTGATGACGAATCTGTGCTATTGATGGCTTCTGAATCTAATAATATGGATCTGATAGACTGGTTGTATATGGACACTGGCTGTTCAAATCATCTTACTGGAAACAAGAAATGGCTGGTTGACTTTGACTCTGAAAAGAGAACAAAGATCAGATGTGCTGATGACAAATATCTTAATGCAGAAGGTATGGGAAATGTCAGAGTGATTCTGAACAATGGGAAAACAGCATTGATTCAGAACGTGTAGTATGTACCTGGCATCAGAAGCAATCTGATGAGTGTGAGACAATTAATTGAGAAAGGTTTTTCAGTTACCATGAAGGACAATCTTCTGAAGCTGTATGACTGCAATCAGAAGTTGATTATGGAGTCAGAATAGGGAAGGAATAGAACATTCAAGGTGAATGTC